TCCCCAGCTTGCTTACCCTCACCGCCTGGTCTGATTTCAGCAGGCCTGGGTCTCCCTTTCCCCAGCTTGCTTACCCTCACCGCCTGGTCTGATTTACCTCTCGGACCACGTTGTGGTTCAGGATGAGGAGAAGCAGGGCAGAGGCTCCCAGGAAGAGGGCCCGCCGCATCTGCAGAGGGATAGAAGGCAAGAGGCTAACATATATCCTGCCTGCACACCTGTCTCACCACCTGCAGCCCCAGCTGCTCTTAGTTCCTGGCCCTGCAGTGAGCAAAACTCTGGACAGACTAGCCATAAGCTCCTGGAAGTCAAAGGTGGAAACTGCTTCCTTCCTCCTGCCTCCCTTCCAGATGCGCTGTGCCTTCCCGGGTCCTAGCAGGGCAGTCCCCACAGTGGCTGCTAGCAGCAGCTCCCCCCGCATCCCATACTCTCAGAGCCTGGTCAAGCTTCCCAACCTCTCTCTGGCCTCTTCTCACCTCCCTGCTTCGAAGCCGTACTGACTCCATTCTTCAAACTGGGGTGCCCTGACCCACCCAGGCCTAGGGCTTCTCTGCAAGCTCTTAAGGGCCCATTTAAGGAGAGCCTGGCTCTAGCAGATGCCTTGGAATCCCTTCCTCCAGCCCCTCCCCACTAGACATCCCCTGCACCTGCTGGACCAGGGCCTTGGGATAGGCCTGCGGGCCACTGCCCTTATTCTCCTGGTGGAACTGGGCCACCTGCTCCTTGCCCACGTATGCCACTGCAATCCAGCCTTCCACCGGCGCCTCCTGCTCGGCATCCACGATGTCCATCTGTGTGGCAAGGGGCCATGAGCAGCGGGAGGCAGGGTGTTGGGGAGGAGGGCGCCGGGGTCATCACAGTGGATGCAAGGCCAGAGTTCGGAGAGCATCTGGCTCTCAGGTTTGGGAAGCCTGAATGCTGGGTGCCTGGGGAGCCTGGGGAGGGGCGCTGGACTGTCAGGGCTTGGTGGAGGATGAACGTCGCTTCTGGGTGCAGGGTCTCTAGGGAGGGTTGGGAGAGGGGTTTAGTGATGCGGCCA